CTTATGGTTACCAGGGGGAAAGGGGCTGGGAAGGGATAGAATGGGAGTTTGAGATTTGCAGATACTTACAATTATATATAAAATAGATGAACAACAAGTTCATACTGTATAGCACAGGGAACTATAGTCAATATCTTGTAGTGACTTATAATGAAAAAGAATATGAAAATGAATATATATATGTTCATGTATGACTGAAGCAGTATGCTGTACACTAGAAACTGACACACAGTAAATTGACTATACTTCAATAAAAAAAATACAAAAAAAGACACATCAAAGCCATAATAACAAAAACAGTGTGTTATTAACAAGGATTGACAAATAGACCCTCCCCCCAGAAAACTTCTGCTTCTACAGACCCCAAAACACTCTCTCTGTGACCTTCTTCAGAACATACCCTCCCAGGAACTGAGGTTCTCCTGAAGCAATGGCTCACCCAACCCACCTGGTTTGGTGTTGTCTCCTTTGTAACCTGGAGGAGAAAAAGGGGACAGAGATGAAGAGGTCATAACAAGATGACAATGAAGAGGTGTGTCTTTTCACTAATATGTTAATTCATTCATTCACCAAATATTTTCTAATCTCCCACTCTATTTCCAGCCTGGAGCCCAAGGCTGGGGGTAGAGGAGGACAGAAATGTATCAGACAGATACATCCTGTATTTGCCCTTGAGAATCACATTGTCCAACAGGGGAGACATAAGTAAACACACAATCACCTGGGTGAGATCAATGTAGGGACCAGGCCACAGGTGTCAGGTAAGTCCAGAAGTGGTAGACAGAGAGGCTTCTGGGAAGAGGGGTTACTGTGCCAGGTCTTAAATATGACAAGGTAAAACAGAAATGAAAAGTGACAGTGACATTCTTTATGATACAAACACCATGGTGTAGGTGGGAGACTCCAGAGGATAAAGGGTAAGACCTGTGATGGCAAGAAATGATGTCAGGGTTAGAAGGCAGCCTCATAAGCCAGGCCAAGCCGCCTGGGTGAGACACTCTGGGAGGAAGGAGGCCAATGGAGGTGTGCAATGGTCAGGCTTGTATTGTGAAGGCAGTATGGAAAATACGTAGGGAGGTAGCAAGACTGAAAGCAGTAAGCCCACCAGAGGCTCTGCAGACCCCAGGCAGGAAATGAGGAGGTCTGAATAAGGAAGCAGCAGTGAGAAGAGACATGGTGAGCTGGATGTAGGACTTAGGGAAATGGCTGAGTCCAGGATGACCCTCAAGTTTCTGATTTTAGAGAAGCTGACCACTATTGGCTGAGTTAGAGGACAGAGTAAGAGAACCCAGTTTGTAGGAAGAAGAGAGCCTCAACTTTCAAACCCAAGATGCTGAGACAGTTCTAGGTCATTCAGATGTCCAGTAGGCGGCTGCATATCAGACACGTTGCTTTGGGAGACAGCATCACATAAATGGCAGCTCAACGCCCACAGCAAGTAAGTTCACCCAGGGAGCAGTGAAGACAGAACCAAGACAGCACCTTAAGGAACATCAATATGTCAGAGACAAACAGAGCACGGGTGGGTAAGGGCACAGACCTGCCAGGAATGGGCTAAGGATTAAGTGAGAAGTGAAGAAGCTCTGGAAGGAAACATGAAGTGAAGGCTTACTTTGAGAAATCTCAAAATAGTGAGGCAGCAAGGGGAAGAGACAGAGTGAAGAAACAAACCAGACATAAAGAGAGAGGATAAAGAACTATGAGAGAGGAGGACGGAAGGAGCAGCACAGGGAAGGCCCAGAGTCCAGAGCAGGGCTGACCTTGAACTGGAGGCCTGTCTCTGATTCCGACAGAAAGTGGGGAGGGTGGCGATGAATAGTGAGGTTCAGAGGCGCCTCTGGGGGCTGGAGGGAGTCAACGGAGACAGCACCTGATGGCCTGGGTTTCCTGAGGGAAGGAAGGAGCTGCTCGTGAGGCACACTGGGTAGGAACGGGCAGTCTGGGAAGACGGTGAATTTAAGACTATTCGTTTAAGTGGATGGAGTCCACGAATTTGGCCCGGACCGCCTAACCGAGCAGGGTCTCCAGCGGTGCCCAGCTACGTGGGAAGATCAGAGAGCCTGGGGTGGAGGGGTAGAGAGTGAGAGGCCTGAGGACGCTTAAGAGGATGGTTCAGGTCTCAGCCGTGAGGTTCATACGTTCACACCTCCGGGAGGAAACGCTGGGGTCCCCCACCACCACCGCTGGCTCCCAGGAGACTGCAGGCTGGCGGCCTTGAGGAAGGAGACGGCGGGTGGAGAAGGTGGGAGTTCGGGACCCCTGGAACCGCCCCGTGGGAGGATGCCGGGAGGGGCAGGTGGAAGGAGAAAGTGG